TATTTTACAGGTTTCTGCTATTACCTCATTTCTGCTTCCTCCTCCAAAAACATATATAAGTGACATATACGATGGCAGAATATCCCATCCTTAATTACAAAAGCAACTCTGATAAATCATTAAAAAAAAAATTAGAAAAATGATTAATTTAAAAAAAAAAACCTGTTCAGAAGTAGTAAGTCTCTAATAATGGACCCAGAAAGATTCCTTAATTATTTCAATGAGAAAAGAAGGTCCATGAGTATTAGCTAAACTGTGCCTGAAACATATGTTAAAGGATCTGCAAACAGGGAAAGTCTCAGAGCTCAGAAGGCTTCGCTTCTTCAGAATGATCTAAGAGTTTAAGTCACAGTTTTACAGGAAATGATACACATTAAAGCCAAGACAAATAAGAAGGCAAAAAGTCACCATCCAAGTTACTTCTAGAATCTTTAGTGACTGAAGTTTTATAATGCCTTCTGTTAATCTGTTTCTCCTTACGACCTCCTCACTTTATCACATAAAGCAGCAGCAAAAAAACCTTCTGGTCATGTAAATGCAAGTTAATAGTTATAGAATCTTCACCGAGTACTGAGAATGTTTCATATATGAAACCCTAAAACTACACAAAATACACAAGTTTAACCTAATGTAGGTACAAAGGTAATTTTTAGATAGATTTTGGCTTATGCTAATCACTTACACAAGCCTGCATACAAATCTTGGAAGATAAACAACCTCCAATGTTGTAGCTCCCAAGGCAAGTAATAAGATGAATGGAAAGATTTCAGAAGAAAAAAAAAAGAAAATAAGAAAAAAAAAAAAAAGAGTTGTAGGCCAGCCTGCAACTCATGGCTGGGCTTCAAGATTAGCACTGGTTTGAGAACAGCAGCTTAGAAGGTGAGAAAAACAGAATCTCTTTTCTTCTTATTCAGTGTTTCCAGATGGTAATCAGTGTAAAGCAAATCATGCTGTTCCCTCAGAGAAAAACACAACACAAAACCAAACCAGAACAACTAAACCCACATTCCTGAGGAACGCACAAGTTATTCAAAGATTACCAGACCCCAAAACATACCTAAGCTAACACGCTGTATACAGAAATGGTAGTAACACTCCTGTTATTTTATCATCCCAGCCTTATTAGAACATTGTCTTGCTATTCTGCAGGTTGTGAACTGTTTCAAACAAGTTTATGAATACCAAGCTCATCTTTGGTCAGAAGAACACAGACTCACCCAAATCGTTTGTCACACATGCAGGAGCTGAAAAAAGCATATTTACTTTGATCCCTAACATGCACTTTCAAGTTAAAGGCACTAATCCGGGTCAAAATGTAATGCATATAACTACTTAGTATCACATTTCATCTGTTTCCTCTTTGCTGCCTAAAAAGGACCACTGCTATATATAGCTAGTTCTGGGGGGAAAAAAAAAAAAATAAAAAAAAAATCAGCCTGTCCTTCCTTGAGAGGACTTCACAGCTACCCTGGCCTCGGTAGCTTAGAAAACTCACAAACAATAACTTGGGACATGTATGTACAGTACAATCATGGAAGACAAAATGCCTTAGAGATAACCGATAATGGCATAGCAGATGCCATAAACCAGACTTTTTAGAGTTATGACCGTTATTCAAGCTACACTGAAGGAGAGCTCAAAGGCTACAACCTGGGTGCCATAAGCAAGTTCTGCATTGCATATATGTACAAGATGTTTTTATTGTGCCAATTACCACAATCAAGAAGGGAGACAGAGTGCAGGAATTGCCTTCAATACTAGAACGCAAGCCTCAGAAGCATGATACCACTTTTACTATTCAGTCCATAGCCCCTGGGAAGAGTAAAGGCTGATGTGCAGCCACTTCACAAATTCCCTTTGAACTCTTCAGCTGCTGATTATGTAAAAGTTTAGCAAGCTTCCTTGATTCTTCTGGTCCTTCAAAACAATGAAAGTTCTCTACTGTTCTGCACTTCAAGTGATCATGGACACTAAAAGAAGGCTGAGAAGTGTGAAGTGTTATCTGCCCAGAATATTTATATACTACAATTGTCCTGCACTGATTTAAGTAACAACTTTTTTCCAAAGAAATAACATCTCTATTGTAGTCCAAACTGAGCATTACAAAGCAGAAAAGTTGTACTGTGAAGTATTACAATTGAAAAAAAATCACTGTATTTCATATAAATTTAACACTGAAGTCCTGCTTGAGTGATGAGTTTGAGACAACAAGAATTAATGTGAATTTGACCATGCGGGTCAACACAGACAAACTAAAATTTTTTATTATGAATTTTACTCCAAGTCACCCTGACACCCCCTCCTGCCCACCATGTTCTTCCTGAAAACATATTAAAAATAATGTCTGATAAATCAGCACATAACTGTAGAAGAAACAGATTATTCAGTTTACCTAAAATACCGTATGGGCCACTGTTCATTATCAGGCTAAACATTTAAATATTTTTTTTTCATCTCAACTCAAGGCTGAAAACCTGGTAATTCTGTCAGCTGAGATGACAATTTAAACCTGCACTGTTCTGTTTAACAAGCTATGTCTTTTGCTAAAGGAATATCAGTAATTTTTAACTTTTTTTTTCTTATGCTAGTGTACACTGTAATAGTTCTCCCTAAAGTTCTTCGTTCCAAAATGAAAAACAATGACAGTTACCACACATTTCTTGACAAATAAAGGAAAGTGACGTACTACAGTAAAGGGATCCTTGGGCAAGATAACTACAATTGACAAACTTCAGAAGTTAACATTAAAATGTTGAACACGAAAATATTCTCTTGCTTACCGAAAATTTCTCCATTTTTGGCAAATTCTGTCACAAGGTACAACATGCTTTTGGTCTCCATCACCTGTTGATGCAGAAATTGCACATGAGATTGTTTGAGGGAAGAGCAAAAAGCAAACACACACCCAAATGGATACTTATTGTCACCATTCTCTTCTGGTAAAGATGTGAAAGTCTTTGCCTTGCACATACAGTTATCACCATCTTTCACTTTGTTTTTTCAAGTTACCTCAACAATTTCAAGGGGAGCATTTGCATGCTAAGCACAAGGATAAGCTTTAAATACTTCATAAAGTCAGTGTACACAGGAGCAGGTAGATAGGATTCTCAGCCACAAGTGACTAACACAAAATGATAGTATCATCAGCAGCTAATTTAACGACTTTCCTTTAAGGGATCAGCCTAAAATAACTCCCTTGCTCAACTTTTCTAACATGCTGATAGCTAGTGCTTGAGAAGGAAGACTGGGGATAACACTGACCTCTGTTACCAAGTTCTATAGTTATAGAAAGGAAAAAAAAAAAAAAGAAAAAAAACTACCGATGAGCACGAGTGTTAAAACCTGGCAAAGTTCAGGTAGAAACACACATCACAGTATCCCATTGTACAATCAGACAGTAAAGCTACAGAACTATCACATCCTCAGTATCTTCTCTGGTGAGGGGATGTAAAAGAAAAAACCATCAAACTTTAGGCATCTTCTACTTTCTCTTCTAGTAAGTTCCAGCCTTCCGATTACAAGAACAGACTACTTGCAATTCAAAAACATGGAATGCTAGAAAGAATAGAGGTAGACAAATAGGAAAAAAGAAAGAGGGCAAGGGGAAAACTTCAAAACTTTTTCATGAACAGTTGTTCATGGCCTTGAACAGAAAGACTTCACCCAACAATATACATTCCATACTTCCATGATGTAAGTTGGGAAAAGGCAGCCCTGTCAGTTATCTTGCAGCTTTCTTCCTAATGACCTACTCCTCAATTGCTTAAACGCTACTCAGGAATGTATTGTACAAATACCATAATCCAAAGATAGAGTGAAACTGAAAAATCCTCTACTTCAAAACAAAAGTAATTTAGGACTTCCCTTCAGTGCAACTCAGTAATTTCAACACCCAACACATTTTGCACCTGTTTCAATAACCACAATAAAATAGTTCAGCCTGAGCTGTCAGTGGGCAAGACCTTCTTGAATTTGATTTTTTTAATTTTATTTATGCACAGGCTTGGGAGTACTAGAAGACTGCTCACAAATAAATTATTTTTATAGGAATGCCTTTTTTTTTTTAAGAAAAAGAAAAAAGGCAAACCCTGAAAGATACAGAGTCATAAAACCAGCAGAATTACCAAAAAACTGACAAGCCCAGAAGACAGAGCAAGATGGGAGTTCTTCAGTCTCTCCTGCACCCTTGTTTAACTCTACAACAGCTAAGCATGTTATGACTTAAATGTCTGTATCTGGAAGGCAAAACAGTTTGGAAACACTGTTTTAAACCAACATTTGGAGACAGGAAGCTGCAACAGCCTGTGGATTACATATACATGGCACCATTCTTAACGAAGCCAAGATTGATAGCTTCATTACCTAACTTTGACAGTCCTCAGTAGTTCCTTGACATGAAACAATTCAGAAACTTGTAGCGTGGACACAGTACAGTGATGGGCACATTATACAAGCAAACTAGTGAGACAATTTGTTTGAAGGCTATTGTAAAAATAAACTCGCCTATCTACCAAATGTATTTCTAACAAGCCAATCCCTTAATAGTGAAGGGGTAGGCACTACATAACAATTACCCTCCTCTTCAAGTGACCTTGCTGATCTCCAGACTTAATTTAACTATTCTTGACTTAATTCAACTATTCTCAGACTCTTCTCCCTCCCACAATTCCTCTCTAGTTTACCAATTTTGTGTTTTGTCATTCATTCAGAAGGAACTGCGGTAGACATTACTCATGCTAGTTAGAAATTTAACTCCTTAAGGTGCACCTCTACTCGGTGAATCAATATTTTTAGAAGGAAGCACCAGTCTCTTTCCTATAAGATGAAATTAAAGCTAAACAAGTCTGAATGAGGATCTTTGTCATTATTCAGTAAAACAACTCCAACACCATAGGTCCAGCTCCTTGTGCTCACATTGCCTTTATAGACTTAGTCAGATGAACTTTAATTCAAAGTTTGGTTTTAGCATGCACAAATCTTCATTTGTTTGCTGAGCTAGGTTTATTTGAAACAAGCAAGAGAGCATCTCAGAAGCACCATGTGATTTGTTAAACAGACACTAACAAACAGACCCCAAAGGGAATATTCTCAGGAAAGTCTTAAAAGCAAGACTTAACTGAAGCAGAAATGCCAGCAGCCTCAAACATTTTACCGTATGCTAGCAGGAACAGAAAATGAAAGAGAAAAAAAATATAAAACAAACCTATATTTTACTGTGCAAACTAAGTGCACTGCAAAAAGTCACAAGTAAAAGCCTTCTAAAGTTTTGTCTGCAACTGTATGCATTTCACAAGTGCAGGTTTATCTCTTATGTAAATACACATTGCTGTACCATAATTATTCATCCTTATGTTATAAAGGGATGCATGCAAGTCTACAACGTACATAATACACTTCAGGATAAATATAAAATTCTCCATATCCACAACAGAAGTGAAATGCAAGATTTCAACAAAAATAAATCCAAAGAACTAGTTTTCCGTTTCCTAGTAAATGCACTTCAAGATAAAGTGTTTGGGAAGCTCTTGCTTGGTGTGTGCATTTACATTACAAGCACATCTGCAGAATCCGGATTTATGTATCTTATCATCTTTGGGTAAGAAAAAAAGGCTGCAAATACTATTCCATCTGCACTTGAGCCAAGACTTGAATAAAGAAAACCACTATATCCACGTAGATCATTCCAGCAAGTACTCACACATCATGCTGAATATTCCTACCCTGCTCTAGCTTACATAGTACCTTGGCTACTAACAGACAGCAAAGTCTCATCACCAGGTATTTCCAATTCAGCTCTTTCACTAACAGAATCATAGAATGGTTTAGGTTGAAAAGGACTTTAAGGATCATCGAGTTCCAACCCCCCCGCCATGGGCAGGGACACCTCCCACTAGACCAGGTTGCACAAAACAGACTGGCCTTGAACACCTCCAGGGATAGAGCTTCCACAACTTCTCTGAGCAACCTGGGCCAGCGTCTTACCACCCTCACAGGAAAAAATTTCTTCCTACTGTCTAATCTAAATCTGCCTTCTTCCAGTTTCAAGCCATTCCCCCTCATCCTATCACTCCATGCCCTTGTAAAAAGTCCTTCCCCAGCTCTCCTGTAGGCCCCTGTTAGGGACTGAAAGGCCGCAATAAGATCTCCCCAGAGCCTTCTCTTCTCCAGGCTGAACAGCCCCAACTCTCTCAGCCTGTCCTCATAGGAGAGGTGCTCCATGTAACATGATGTTCTATTACAATGTTTATTAAATGTGTATTTTAATTTATTAAAGACATTTAAATGTCTATTAAAATGTGTATTTTAAATGGATTACCATAGAATGAAAAAGGCCACAACTGATGTACTTTCAAGAACGTTAAACACTATCCAATGCAAATCAATTCCAGAAAAGCTGAGTTTGTTACAGGCTAGTGATCTGCCAGAAGTCACTGGTGAAGAGCGAACTCTTCATACAGGAACAAAAGAGAGGGGGAGAAGGTAAAAAAAAGACAACACTAACCATACCTGGTAGAGCTTTATAATGTGTGGGTGATCAAGCATTTTCATTATCTGCACTTCTCGGTAGATCTTCTCCAGATTCACAGCATCCAGCTGAGACTTATCAATGATTTTTATTGCCACCTGCAGACAAACAGCAAAAGTGAGATTAAAACTCCCCAATGTTTTCCTCAGTAGTTTATCCTCATTATAAAGGGAATAACGCAACCCCAGATACCTAGGGGCTTTCTTCTAGCTCAGAAATATACACTCCACACTTAAAAACACAGCAGCACAACATTAAACATGTCAGTAGTCCTGCTAAGTGGCTGCAGGAATACCACCTACATCAGCATGTCAGAAAAAGAAAGTTTTACAAAAACCAGAAAACATAGAACAGGTGATGGAGGCCAGTGCTCCAAACAGCTGAGGTGCAGAATGCTCTCATATCAGTAGCATGTGGGAACAATTGAGGCCCCTTCATGTAACAACAAAAATCTTAAAAAGCCTAATCATGTCCATTTCTGGAGTCAAGCTAGCCAATTTGAACCCTACAAATGCAATATGATGTTTTAAAAGACAGACTGTTGGCTCAACACAAATTATCAAAACATGGTGGATCCACATAGTTTCAACTGTTATGTGCTTACTTTAACTGTAATTAATATGCTACTACATAAGGAATCTGCAGTTCATCAGTTCAGGGAAAAAAAACCCTATGTAACCATGTTTCTCACTCAAACCTTGTAGACAGATATCAATTAGTTTAGAAAACAGATCTTGGTCCTATTGACCTTGCTTTTAGCCAATACCTGCAAAATGAATTACGGAGAACTACACGTGCCTAGGAGACTAAAAATTTCAAACAGAAGACACTTAAAAAAAAATTTAAACCAAGAAGAAAGAAAAATATAGCTACTATAAAAAAAATCATGCAAAGCATAACAATACTAAAGAATAATGAATATATAAATGGTGTTTATTTACCCTGAATATCACATTATTAATGCTGAAGCACAAGCAAACAATGTAAGTCACACAAATGCTTCCAATTGCAAATGCATTTCATAAACTGCTGAACTATAGGAGGCAGCTGCTATGCAGGAGACAAAAATCCACAGGAGGTGAACCCCATTATCTCCAGTAAGGCTGATTATGGATCCACCTGAATTCAGAATTAACTATTTATTGACTTAATTTCCGTACACTTTTGCTTGATAACCTCTTCAGAAGTCACTTGTCTTCACCAACCACCAGAAAAATAAGATTCTGCTATGAGTGAATGAACTGATCTAGCCCTGTAATCAGTGAAAAGTTGTTTTTAAGATGCAGGATGCACTCTTACGTAGCTGAAGTAGAACAAGACTATTTTCCAAAGCAAACAAACAAATTTTTAAAACTTTTTACAAAAGATAGGTGTGGCTTTTTTTAAAAACAATGTTTGATTAATGTAGAACTCACTGAAACTAGATATATCAAAAACCAATACACATTTATAAGAATAATGATATATACAACTATTAGACAGAAAACAAGAAAGAGGGTTCACATCCCCCAACATTTTCACCATTAATCATGAGCTCCCTCTTCAAAACAGAACCGTGGACACTTGGGAAGAAATGGCACCCAAAACAGTATTCAACCACTCCACGCTGCCGCCCTCCTCCCCAGCTCTCTGCAACTTTCTTCCATCCTAGTATAACACACAGCAATTTAGGGGATCCTGATACCTGATCTTTGCAAAACATGCTTGCCCCTGTTGTCTTCTGCTAGCTATTTGTATTTACAGCATTATCCATAATTCATCTACTCTGCCCTCTTTCATATTACACTACGGTCACACTGAGAAGCATACAGGAACAGCAATGATCAAGAGGGTCCTAAAAGATTACAGATCTCCTTTTGAAAGTTTCTGTCTTTTGACTATGAAGACACTATCTTTAACCATGCAAATAAAACATACATATCACCTGCTTCTGCTCCTATTGCTTACCCTCTCGCTCTATTCCCATTCCTTCAAACGACAATATTAGTTTTCTGTCTTACATCTGGTATATACATAAAACTTAATAATAAAGGCCTGGCTTCACACATGCAAGGAACTGGGGCTAGGCAAAAGACGAACAGTCACGTGCATGGAACTGGACTGTTCAAATGCATACTTCCCACTTGGTCTTGCCAGATTTGCACTCCCTTTGACTGCTCCCTACAGCAATTGCTCATTCTCTCAGCAGGTCTCCTTTCGCTCAGTTACAAAGGCAGAACAGCAAGCTGCTTCCTTACTTGGTCTGATTATATGCCATGTGGCAGCAGAGGAATCATTCATGCAGCCTAAGAAAAAACACCACACAAAAACCATACCTTTAAGTCTCCCTGGCCTAATTTAAGATCACACCTAATAAAATGACTTCTGGTTATTGTTTATTTTTTGCAGGCGCAATTTACTAGCCTAAGAAGAAATCACTTCACTGCAAAGTTATATAATGTCAAAGTAATCAAACCAAACGACTAAAGCCAGACCAAATTCTTAAACATACATCAGGAAGCATTTACTAAAAACAACCCATGTGTCGCTTTTGTCCAGTTCCTCTAATTTATTTTACACTGTCTCTCTGGAATTAACCAGAGACACAAGCTGGTTTCTCCTTCATTCTCCACATCAATCCCAGCTTATACCCAATATTTGGGTGACCTCCAGATTTAAGAGGAATGGAGCCTGTTTCTTATTTACAAACCAAGGAAAAGATTAATCTGTAGCTGTCTTACATTCCCATCACAAAACGGTAATAAATCATTCAGTCAAGCAACAAGGTACCTCCAATCTTGGAGGGATCAGGTGTTCAGGAAGATCTAAATGCCTCCTTCATTGATCCACAGTAATGCAAAATCCTGCTGCATTTTTTGGTATTTAAAATTTAATGGCAATCTAATTATAATAGCAATTTACACAGACAGCATCAGCCTCTCAGTAACTTGAGGTATTCAGAAACTTCTTTATTCACATAAACACCACAGTGTAGAAGCTTTACCTAAAACTTGCATCACTTGTAACTTTTAAGACTGCCTCCTTTCCCTGGCTCTGGTTCATTTAATTTCACCTTACAATCACTGTGCATTTTCTCCCCACATAGTTAGGTGTTTTATTAAGCTCTCTTCAAATACAAGCAAAAAAATAACAGTAACTTTCTCCTGTTTACTCTTGCATATAGGAAATGTGTGGAGTATAGAAAACCTAATAAAAGCAAAGCTATACAGGACTTTGAAGAAAAGAGGTTAGGTCAGGCATAGAAGAGGGAAAAAAGACACCCAAATAAGTGAAACTGTGGCAAAGCAATAAATAAGGGGGGTTTTGACAATTTGAAAAAACAAACAAACCAACCCGAAACAAACAAACAAAAAAAACAACAGCAGCCTGCTCTCTGGGCTCATGCGGAGCTTTTGTTTATCTATCCATCACACTATCATCAGTTGGATTAGCACAAATATTTATACTTCCTTCTTCTATACTTCTCACCCCCTCCTAGTGGGGAGGGGGAGAATTCTGCAACTGTATGGCTTCCTAGTGCTATTTTTCCAACGAAGCTTGACTCCCATCTCCCTATCCTAGTGAAAAATCTAGCTTTACAAGTACACTGACTCCTGGTGTTTTTTCCAGTATAGTTTGGCACTTCCACAGTTTGCTCTTACATTATGTATTCCTTTTACTTAAAGTACAAATATTTCAAATACAGCCTGTTACCGCTTCCAAACCTTCCTACAAGAGTCTGTGTTGCCAACTTTCTCCAGAGATAGCAGGCATTATTCTGATCACTGCAGTTCCTAGCTTCTAACATCCACTAAGAGCTCCAACAACAAAAAAATATCAGTTTTTAACTTTGTTTTCCCAGATAACAAAAGTATCCATTTCCCTAGACAAATCTAGATAACTCATTTGTCGTCCTTCAGTTTTAAAGATTAAATACTTCAATTTCCACTTCAATTTCCTAATAATCAATGCCTACTGTAGTTTTATGTTTTCCAAGGCTAATAAGACTGCAACTATATAATCACTTCAGTTATTAAAAATAAAGTAATTCTATATAAAATAAAAACACACAGAATATATTTTTTTATCTTTACATGGTTAAAATCCTTGAACAGATCTTACTTCCTGAGCAACAACCAGTAAAATTTCATTAGAGGAAAGAAGCATTTAAAAAAAAGAAAAAAGAATGGGTCATATAAATTTCGGAAGCACAGCTACAAATGCTGCTACAACCTTCACTACTCTTTCTGTCCAAGAACAGTGCTTCATGTTCCAATGTTTCCTACTTTCTTCCTTTTCCTGAACTTTCCTATCCTATCTCTTTGCTGCACACATTTAGAAATACAGTTCCCAAAGATCACCGAAAGACTGAAACCAAATTCTTCAGAAAGTGTGAGAGCAAGAAAACAAGTCTTCAGGTCACACACTTGAAGCAGAACGGCTACAGAAAAATCCTCCTTCAATAGTTTTGAAAAAGTTCCTTACTTCCTCATATCCCAAGTAAAAAGCGATCATAGATTTAGAACAAATCACAGAAGGTTAACGCTCCACAGAAGCACATAGTAACATTCTATATTGTATACACAATCATCCACCTACTCTCAAAATTCTAACACTAGCATGTTTCACTGATGAAAATATTCTGCATTTATAGCTTTTGAGCTTGAAAAGATGTGGTGTTTGTTTTTTTTTTGTTTGGGTTTTGTTTTTTTTTAACACACTGGGCATTCAGGTACAACAACGCACCAAGGACTTGGACGAATACTTCCACAAAAATGTTTTTATTAAGAGATTGCCAGATGGTAATGAAAGCATTAATAAAATGCTCTTTATTAAGTCAGTTAATACTGAACTCCTGCAGGCAACTGTGGAGCTGGAAAACTTCTGTTATATGTGACTTTGCAAACGTTGGAAAACAGTTTGGGAGCACTACAGAATGAGCCGCTGTCTCAGCGGGCTACTTGCGATCTCTGTCATCATGTTAAGAGATGCATTTTGTGCTGCTACATCCATAATCTGTTCAAAAAAAGACAAACAAGACTTCTTTAGTTAGACCATTCAGTTGACAGCTATCAGTAATATATTCATAAAAGTGTGTGTTGTGTAACCACATTAGTTC